CGGGGGCAGCGACATCTCCACCCCTTCCCCCCCACACCCCGCAGGCAGCCCCAAGTACTCCAGCGAGGCCCTGAGCTCCCCCCAGGTGGATGACGGCTTTGAGACCGACTCCGACCCCTTTCTTCTCGATGAACCCGCTCCACGCAAGAGAAAGGTGCTGCTCCCGTGGGGGGTGGGTGGTCCCAACACTGGTGGCATGGCTCAAACTGAGCCGGTGTCCCACGGAGGGGATGCTGCCACCGAACAGGGGGTGATACAGGTCATCTCTCCACCAGAACTCGGTGAAGGTGATGTACAAGTGCCTGTGGCCGAGCTGCGGCAAAGTCCTGCGCTCCATCGTCGGCATCAAGCGGCATGTCAAGACCCAGCACCTCGGGTAAGGCCTCCTTAGCCTCCTCAATCTCTGCCCAGCCACCGAAGCTGCACATCCTACACTGCCGTAATCCATAATTCCTGCAGCGAATATCCCCGGTATTGGAGAATCTGGCCTCTGTGCACTGAGCTGGGCAGTTCTCAGCCAAGCAGTCCATGTCACAGAAGCTGTTGCTGTATGTGGCCATGCCTTCTGGGACCCAAGGGGTTATCGGGAGCCCCATTTGGGCTTCGGGAGTGCCCAGCTCTGCCCGACTCGGCTGTGTCTTTTGCACCAGAAAGAGTTCAGGCTACACGCGAGTTCCGGGCTCCCGGCAGACGTGGAGAAGCACCAGCCCAGCTGGGTTTTGCAAGGGCTGGAAGCTGTGTCGGCTGTGGTGGCAGCTGGCTCCTGCTCTGCTTTGCCCTCATCTCCTGTGAATTCCCCCAAAATACAAAGTAGGGAAGGTGTGGGGATCAGCTTGGCGATGCTCTCCTCCCGTGGCCTATTGCACTTCTCACACCAACTTCACCTTTCTCATGCTTTTCTCCATGTTTTTCCCATATATATTTTTCTCCTCCTCTCTTGAAAACATGAATGCCCTGGGAAAGGCAAGGATGGAAGGGCCACGGTGCCGTGGGCAGCGCTGGACTGCCATCCAGTGCCAGATAAACGCACTGGGAAAATAATCAAAAAGCCTTCAGAGGCTGTTTCCTGCTGGGTGAACCGCAGGGCTTCGGTCATGGCTGTGCTAAATGAGCTCAAGTAGAAATGAACAGGGGATTTTCAGTAGTGTCCAGTCAATGTGCCAACGTTTTTAAAGGCCCTGGAAGAGGTATTGATCTTCCTTGGAAGTGCAGAGTGCTGCTGCAGAGACAGCGGCTGATCACAGCCAACGTGATGCTTCCAAGCATGGGAGCGGAGCTGCTCTGCCTGGGAAGACGAGATTGAGTTGGAGGCTGCTCACCCTGATGATCCCAGGGGCTGCCTTTTCACCACTGTCCCCCTTTCCTCCCCGTCAGGGACGGCGCAGACTCCGACCAACGGAAGCGGGAGGAGGATTTCTACTACACCGAAGTGCAGGTGAAGGAAGAGCCGGCGCCGGAGGCGACTGCCGCCACCAGCCCCACATCCGTGTCCGCCCCCATCATCATCCAGCAAGCCCTGGCGAAGCCGGAGGCGCTCCTGGTAGAGCAGCCGGCGCTGGAGCCCGCCCTGGCCAGCAGCGCCCTGAGCCAGTCTGCCCCCAGCTCCTTCTGGCACATCCAGGCCGATCATGCCTACCAGGTGAGCTGGTGGCATCTCCGGGGCTGGCTCACCCCCCAGAATCATGCTGCAGGGCAGGTCGCCACAGCAGGGACGTTTCGTGTCCGTCCCCACCACGCCGAAAGGCCTTGGTGCTGGTGTAGCACCATGCCTGCCTGGCTGCCCTTCAGCCCTTGAGCAACTAGCTGCCTTAACGCCTGGGGAAGGGGCTCGTGTCCTTCCCACCGCCGTTCCTGGGGGGGGGAGCAGCCGGCCTCTGCCCCCCTGCAATTACCCCGTGCTGGTATGCAACACACCCTTCTGCCGGCAGATAACACAGGGCTGGAATGCAGCCCGGCTGGATCCTGCACCACTCGGCTCCGTGCTTGCCAGGGCATCGGCTTTTGAGGGACAAGAAAATTGGGAACCCGGAGCAGTGGAACCGTGGGCACCCCGGGCCAGTGGCCCTTGTCCCTGGGGCTGCCTGTGTGCCGGGCGCTGTTCTGGAGCTGCCAACTAGCGCAGGGACACGGTGTATGGATCCATAAGCTCCGTGTATATCCATCCCCATCCCAGGGAATGGATGTGGCATCATCTGAAAGCACAAAGCTGGCGTTAATAGGTGCAGAAATATCTACGTGTAGCCCAGGATGGCAAAGGGTGAGACGGCGCGTGTGCCGTGCCCCGTGGGATCCAGTGCTGGGGGAGAGGTTGCGCAGGGATTTCAATCCCACCCCCAGTGCTCCCAGGTTGGGGGTACTCCAGGCTGGTCTTCATGGGGAGATGAATGCCTGTGGGGGCTGCACGTGGGAACAGGGTGTCCCCAGGGCTAATGCTGACCCCTCTTCCCTCACAGGCGTTGCCCTCCATCCAAATTCCAGTGTCCCCCCACATCTTCACCAGCATCAGCTGGGCCACTGCCACCTCGACTCTCCCGTCCCTGTCACCGGTGAGTCCTGCATGCGTTTCCCCTTCATCCTTTCGGGGTACAGGGTTGAGCTGGGAGCTAAGGGAACCTCCTCTCTGCTTTCTCGCTCCCCATTTCAAACATCGGGATTTGTGGACACCCATGTCTCCCACTGCCCCGCCGCAGCACCCGAGGGCCTCAGGGGAGGGGGGACGGCATCGCCCCGTGTGCCCTTTGACCCCCGATTCCCCGCAGGTGCGGAGCCGGTCGCTCAGCTTCAGCGAACCCCAGCCGCCGACGCCGATGCTCAAGTCCCACCTGATCGTCGCCTCGCCGCCCAGGGTGGCCATCGGCACCAGGTGAGGGTCCCGCCAACCGGGGGTGCATCCCGCCGGGAAAAAGGGGGTCCTCCTCCCCCTCCCTGGAGGTGCAGCAGAAGGATGCTTGGTCATGGTTGTGGGTTTACCCTTAGATAGGCGACTGAAACTCTGCAAGGAGCGGGTAAACAACATTTTTCCTCTTCCCCCTTTTGCAGGAAGGTCCGCGGGGAAGCCAAAAAGTGCCGTAAGGTGTATGGCATCGAGCACCGGGACCAGTGGTGCACAGCCTGCCGGTGGAAAAAAGCCTGCCAGCGCTTCCTGGACTGAGCACGGCACCGCGGTGCCGTGTCCCTCCCCCTGCTCCCGCCCCGGGGGAGCACTGGAGTCCCTCACTGCTGCAACCAGGGACCTTGGAGGTACCTCCTGTGACCCCAGAAGCCACCTCCAGAGCTGCGTGTAAATTCCTCCTTCTGTATATTGTACATCTGCTGGGTTTGCTCCTTTTTTTTTTTTTTAAAGAAAACCTTTTTTCCAACTTTTTTTTTAAACCTGAAGAATATCTCCCTTTGTACGGTTAAAAACTGGGGCTGGGAGGGAAGGAAACCGTTTCCTTGGGCTTTGGAGCAGATTGTAGGCAATCTGGGGACCAAAGAGCTTCCTGCATTTCCCAGATCAGCCCTAAAATCTCCCGAGCCATCGCAGCATGGCTGGGATGAGGCGTTGAGGCCGCTTCCCGCGTCCTTTGACTACCTGGAAGGTGCAAATCCCTTGTACCCTTTGAGGGAGGGATGGGTACCGACGATAGCTTTAAAAGAAACGCTCCTGGGTTGCCGCAGGCGAGGCAGGAGCAGCTCTCGGGGCAGGACTCGGAGGGCGTCTCTCTCCGCGTGGATGTGGTTTTCGCTCATGTCGCCTCACAGCCGTAGCTTGAGCCTGCGCCTGCCTCCGCTCGGTTCCAGCGCGTCATTTTTGCAGGCATTTTGGGGGCAGAAAACCCCACCCAAAGCATTTTAACCCAGAAGACTCAGAATTTTTAAGACAGAACATGGTGACCCTTCTCATTTTAGGCTTTGTGAGTCTGCTTAGCTCCGTTAGCCCAGGCCGCAGCCACCAAGCCGAGAGCAATCCCTGCAGTTGGCCTGAACCTGGGGTGTTTTTAAGGACTCAACTTTCCTCTAAAACCAAATCAGGTGGCTGGGAGAGTCCGACGTCGCTCCCGGATTGAGGCGAGCCTGTCGTTGAAGGGGTTGGGATACACAGAGACGTGTTCCTGGTGCTGGTCAACACGTTTGGGTGGGTTTTGTTGGGATCTGGTGGTAGCTTTGTGCGTATAAACAGGGTATCCTCCCGCAACCTCACCTTCTCTCCGATACCCGACTGCGGGATGCAGACTTTGCCTGCGGGAACGCCCCAGGTAGGGTGCGACCCCACGGGGTTACATCCATCCCTGGGTGGGTCTGGGCACGTCCGGCTCAAATCCCGGGGAAGAGAAGAGGTTTTGCTTCTTGATTTTGCTCCCATCCCTGCTGCAGAGCCTGGTGTTGGGAGCAAAATGTTAAGAAAAAAAGTCTTTTCCTCCCCCAGGGGCATCGGAGACGCTTTGCAGGTTCCCATTTTATCCATTTGGGGAAGGGCCTGGCCGTGCCGGAGAGCAGGCGGGTTTCCAGGGATGCTGGAGGTGCTGGTGGCTCTCCAGAAGCGAGGCGGCACCTTGGGCAGGCCCACGCGGCGCCTGGTTGCATTTCCATCCCCCAAATACTCTGGTAAAAATGGGACTCGAAGCAGTTCCCGGAGCATGGAAGGAGAAAAAAGGGGGAATTTGTACTTTCCTCAGTCCTTGTGCCTTTGTGTCGTCCCCCCCTAACCCAGAGACCCCCAGGCGGGGCTGGAGACTCTATTTCTTGTTTTTTACATCCTTTCCGCCCCAAACAGCGTCAGGCAGAGCCGGATCCGTGCCGGTGCTGGCCGGACACAACTCAGCTCCCGCCTGGATCACTCAGGAAATGTCAAACCAAGCCATGTGGGGTCAGCATCGGGGTGTGGCATCATCCCGGGGGGGTTCATGCCCCCGAACCCGGGCTGTAGGGTCGCACACTCCCACCCCTTCTTAAAAAATATAGATAGGAAAGAGAAGGAAGAGGTGCCAATGGCTTTGGAAAACAGGCATGCAGCATCCCGGGGTGAGGTGGAGGGGGCTGACAGGGAGGTGGGAGGTTCCTGCCGCTCCCTTTCCGAGGCTTTTTGCGGTACGGATTTAACCGGATAAAATCGTCCTTACGCTCGTGGCTCTTTCCTGTTGGCTTTTTTTTTTCCTTTGATGGAGAAACTGGTGCGGGGGGGGTTGTTTGGGGTTTGTTTTGGTTTTCCCTCTGGTTTTGAGAGGATTTTGGAATTTTTACACTTCAAACCAGAAAAACCTTCCTGTATTTTTCCAGAAACAACAGCCCGTTTCCACGGTCTATTGGGTAACTTGGTATCAAATACAGAATTAAATTTTTTTGAGGGGGGTCCTTTCCCTATTATTTCCCTTTCCTACTATTTTTTAACTCATTTCCAGCCACTTCCCGACCGCTGGACTTTTCCTTCCGCCGCTTGAGTCCCGCTGGTCCCAAGAAAACTCCTCTTCGGCCCCAACCGCGCGTAACCCCGACCTCTAAATCCAGCTCGGAGAGTTTTTCCCTCTTCCATCTGGCTGTCTCCCAGAGCATGTGTATGTATGTATATAGGAACCTCTTAATTGGGCACTAATTAATCGGAGGCTGCTTCCCACCCCACTGTGGGACCCCGAAAGGCAAAGCCAAGTCGGTGACCCCACGGCGTCACCGGATGGAGGTGTCACGGGGCCGGGGGGGGTGAGGACACTTGTCACCGTGGCCGTGCCCCCGTGGGGCCACCGGCAGCTCGGCCGAGCGGGGACGATGCCGTGTCGGTGAATTTTCTGTCTTGTTGGAGCTTTTCTCAACTGTCTTCCAAGTATTATTTTTATTGTAAAACAAGAAAAACGGTGAAAAAAAAAAAAACAGGTAAAAATGAAATAAAAAGGTGAAATGTAATTTTTACAGCAGCGATATGAAATATATTTTATAAGAAATAAAAAGAAAAGTTGCCTGGTAGCTCGCTGGCTCTGCCTTCTCCTTGTAGCCCGTCTCGCAGGGACCCCGGTGTCCCCCCATGCCCTCCCCCCAGGGAGGTGGGGGTGCTTCCTGCTGCCACCCGGCAACTTTTCACCCCCTCCCCGAGCCCGGGGAGCCCCTTGGCACCAGCATTCCCGGCACCACTAGGTAGCAGTGTCCGCCCGGCGCTGGCAGCCGCCACGTCCTTCCTTTTCGCTGCTTTATTTTTCCCTCAAAACCCCCAAATCCATCAAGTTTTTCACCTGGAAGCCGCGGGGGAGGGCGTTACTCCCTGCTAAACCCGGTGGGTTTTTAAGCCTTTCCCTTGCTCCATGGTCGTCGCTGAGCCGAGAAGTTGCCTTTTAATGGAAAAAAAGGATAATTGTGTATTTTTTTTTTTGAGTCGTGTTGAGGTGAAAGAGGAATGGAAAAGGGGGAAAAAGGGAGAGGGGGAAGCAACCAGGGATGTGGGGGGAGCAATGCCTCCCCTGCGTGGGAAAGGAAACCCCACGCTATTAAAAACTGCATCCCAGGAGCCCCAGATGGATGCAATTCCCAAAAATCTTGCAGAGGCCAGCTCCGGCCCTGATCCTGACCCCTCCCACAGGGAAACTGGAGGGTCTCCAGTCCCATTTGCCACAGGCAAAGCAAACCCATCCCAAAGTCTTTTCCCGCTGGAGTTTCCTTAATTGCCATCGGCCGGCTGAAACCGCAGCGGAGTTGCCTCTCCCCAAGCGTTAACCCCGTTTGCAAACTGGGGACACTGGGACCAACCCTGGGGCGCGGAGGCCGCCCATCCCTACCCCTCCGCCGGGATCGCGATGCTAAAAATAGCACCCGGGCGCTGGGGTGACGATGCCGCTCCTCGCCCCAAATCCAGGGTCTCCCGGGAGAGGCAAACCCCCAGAATTCTAGTGGGGTCATGGAGGCTGGGTACGCTGCGGGGGAGCTGCAGGGTGTTGGAGCCCTCACTCCCCCTACGGAAAAGTGTTCTGGGTGTCATGGAGCCAGGCAGGAATTCCCCTTCTCTCTTAAACCCTAAACCCCCTTTTTTTTCCCCCAAATCACCCCCCTGGATCCATCCCAATTCTG